CAGACATTACACATGAGTAGGGTAAAATTTTTACCTAACAGAGCTCATTAGAAAACTCTGCCAGTTGATGACCTACTTTAAGGACATATTTTTTTCCTACTACGGGCTTTCTCTGATTTATTTAGTAGAGATTGAGTCCTTCTGAATTCAGCAAGCATCAGTCTCCAGCTCACACCGGAGCAGTTTTCCATCATGGAAAAAGGTGGACTGCCATCTCAGGATGGAGAGGAGCTGCTGCCTCAAGTTAAGGAGTTCAAGTATCCCAGAGTTCATACGTAGGGGAGGAGTGGAGCAGGATATTAGTGGACAGATTGTCTACTGTGGTAAAGAGAGCTGTGAAGGCAGAGTTGCTGGTTTATTGGTTGGTCTATGATCCGATCCTCCTCTGTGCCCACGAGCTTTAGGCACTGACTAAGATAAACAACAGAATAGAATCTGCTTTGGATTTCATTAAAAAAGTTCTCCAGACTGTTTCACATCTGTCACATGTGCTCAGGGTGAATCTGCTCTCACTCATTCACAGCACAGGGCGCCAGTGGTGGATCTGCCAGTTCTGGTATTCTATGGCACAACTAGAGGAGTGACTCTCAAACTGTGGTATATGTACCACTTGTGGTACTTGGGCTCTCTCTGTTGGTAGGCGGGAAATCTCCAATGTTTTTAAAGATTAAATAATATACGATTGTGGAGGTAAAGACGACACAAGAGTTTCCAAAGCTCTTCTGGGAGCCTGAGTCGACCAAAACATGTCTCCCCGAACGTGAGTCCTCTATGAAGAGCAGCCTTTCCTTATCGCCAGAGGTCGCGGCTGTTACAAAGCGCTGGCGGGCTGGTTTCCCTGGGTCTTAAAACTGCAAAGGCGGCACAGCGTTGCCACGCTGATGCTTAAAACACTGTCCTTTTCCGCTGTGCCACTGTGCTGCGATCCCAGCCACCATCGATGAGTTGAAGGCCCCCGGGAGAATCGGTGGGGGTGCAGTAGATGCTGTCGGTGAGTCGGGAACTATCGCCTGGATGCCAAAGCGCCTGGTTGCCAGGAGAATCTGATCCGCTTCTGCGAGTGAGCGGTAATCCTTCGCGGCCAGCAGCGGGGAGTTAGCAAGGCCAGCTCGTACCGGCACCTGTCAGAGGAAGACGTGAGTGAAGAGGAATCCGCCATCATCCTAGCAAGGACAGCGTACTCTCCGTGGGCTCGAGAGCGGTACCATCACCCAGGCCCGAGAGAGAGAGGAGTGTCTCAGCCGTTCTGCATCGGAGAGGGAATAGCGCAGCACCAGCAGAGCCTTGAGAGCGGTGTATCATCACATGGCGGGTGGACAGCGGATCCAGCAAGGCCACCACAGGATGGTATTTCGTGTCGTCGGCTGAAACGCCATGAAGACCAAACTGAGCTTCGACGTGCACAAACCAGGAAGGCCTGGAAGGCCGCCACAGCAAGAATTAAAACGTGCAGCTCTGCTGTCACTTCCAACACAAATGAAGACAGAAAAATAAACAGCAGCGACGCTTGTAGGGTTACTGAAGTCGGGCTAGCTGGTATACAATGAGCTATGGCTAGCATAAACACAGTGAAGCTGGAGGATGAACGCTAACTTTTTTCAACTAAATGACAGCCTTAATAAAGCAGAGTAGTTCGGACCCAGAAGCAGACTTCATACGTCATCACTTAAAGATTGGATATCCCACCTAGTGAGTGTTTTAATGCAGTACAGTTGTTAGTATCACTTGTCACATCCTGTTTATGACAGCTAAAATAAATAACATTCATAAAATAAATAAAATTGTCTTGCATAAACTGTATGTTGTGTTAAATAGGCCTATACTACTGTACTTTAATGTCGGTCATAAGGATGGTACTTCAGGAAACATATATTTTATGATACTCATTGTGAAAAGTTTGAGAACCACAGTATTCGAGGAAGTCGGGCCCTCGGGCCACCCTCGTGAAGTCTGCTTCTGATTGTTTGGTCAGAGACATTCAAACCTGTTGGAGGCGGTCCTGCCGATGGGTTGAGGGCCTTCTACGGCCCTGCCCAGCTCTCCTAGAGTAACTCCTGTCTCCTGGAGAGACAGATATTGATGTACCATCCTGGAGGAGCAAACTGTAGGGCCCAGATATCACTTCATGATACCATTAGTGACACTGACGGCCAAACTAGTGAAAAAACAGCCAAAAATGATGAGGAGGGAAAACGTGTCAGCGCTCTCTACGTCTAAAAACTGCTCCTGTTTTTGGGGTTGTCTCATTGTTGCCCCTCTTGTGCACCTGTTATAAATTTCATTAACACTAAAGCAGCTGGAAGTGATTAACAACCCCCTGTGATACTTACCTGACCAGATCAATACAACAGACGTTTGATTGAAATGATGAAGTTGAGGTTCCTCAGTTGATGACTTACATAAAGCTTAGTTTTTATGTATAAAATTGTATTTTTGAATATAAACGAGGCATTCTCATCATAAATGCACACAGATTTGTGCACATGCACAGTTAACAAAGTGAAATAAACAACTAAATGTGTGTTTTAGTCAATTTTATTCTGCATGTCACATGCAGCCATGATTTACTGTTAGGAAACAGGTTAACAGGTGTGAACATGTTTAAAGAGTTTTCCTAACCTTTTCTAATCCTCCATGGCTCAGCTCTTCCATCTCCTGCTGCTCAGAGGCCCCGCCCACATGCAGATGGCAGCGGATGGTGGAGGTACTGCCTCTCGAGCAGCCGCCTCCAATTAAA